ATCAACATGTAGTTATTTTAAAAGATCATTTCAAAATCATTATAATCAATCAACTTCAAACAATGAATTTATCAAAAAATATTTAGAAATGCCAGAAGAAGTAAAATTGCCTGGATTGGTATTCTACAAGATTTAAAGGTCCTAAGTATACTGTTTTGTCACATATGGCTCATGATTTTTTCTCAATACAATCAACTAGTGTGTCAAGTGAGTCAGCTTTTAGCATAGCTAAACACATACTAAGTCCAGTTTGTAATAGATTGGATCCTGAAAAGGCACAAGCAAGTTTTTGCCTTAAAAGTTGGATTGAAGCAAAGATTGTTTCAATATAAAATATGTTAAATATATTTTAAATTTTTTTTAAATTTTTTTTAATATAATTTTTTTAATATAATTTTTTTAATATAATTTTTTTACATTTACAAACATTTATAATAATATATATAAAACTATATATAAAATATATAAATAAAAATAAAGATATATAATAAAAATATATAATAAATACACTGTTTGAAAAAAGGTTGAGGACTTTTTGGGGCTTTTTCTAGGACTTTAAGCCCCAGTACCGGACCGGACTGATTAACATCTTATTAATTTAAATTAAAAAATTCTTGTTCAACGGATTTTATATTTAAAATCGCGTTTCAACGGACAAAGGATTTTTTGGTAGGATTTTAGTAATAATAATAAGTACTAATCGGATTCACGTGATATAGATTTTATTAAAAAAAAACATTACTATGTTAAGATTAATTCATTGCTAAATAATAATATAAACAAATTGAATGATTCTCAAAAATATCAATATGATTTTACATGAATGATTCTCACATTACTAAAATAATAATATTAATCAAAATTTTCCATAATAATTTTACACGAATAATTAAACACACATTATCATTGATCAAAATTTTCCATATTTCCAATAATAATATTAATCAAATTTTCCGTATTTCTAAATAATGATTTTACACAAATAATTAAACACATATCACTAAATAAATAATATTAATTAAATTTTCCGTGAAAAATAATATAATAAATAATATATTTTAATGAAAAAAGTGATTTATTAAAGAAAAAAAAGTTTCAATTTTCAAATATATTAATTTTTAATTACTACTCTTTAAGGCAATGATTGTTGCTGTTGATGTTGATGTTGCTGTTGATTTTGATATTGTTGATTTTGATTTTGAGTCTGTGACTGTTGATGAATTTGTGGTGGTAATAATGGCTGGTGATGGTGTTGTTGTTGAGTTGAAGATTGAAAAATTGATTGTTGATGTGGCAGTGGTGCTTGCTGGAACAATTGTGGCAGTTGTTGCATTGGTTGTTGTTGTTGATTATGAGGTAGTTGTTGTTGCATTTGAAATTGTGACTGTGGTTGAAATGATGGCATTTGTGATTGTGTAATTGGTTGCTGTTGTTGATGTGGGATTGATTGTGGTGGTTGAAATAGTGGCATTTGTGGTGGCATTGATGATGATGATGATGACGATAATTGTTGTTGATGTTGATGGAGTAATATTGGTGATTGCTGTTGTGTTGATGATGGTGGTGGTTGGAATGGAGGAAGTTGTGGCAGCATTTGTTGTTGTTGTTGTTGTTGTTGTTGTTGCTGCTGCTGCTGCTGCTGCTGCTGCTGAAGTAATTGCTGTTGTTGTGGATGTGGTTGGAAAGGAGGTAAGGATGGTGATTTTATCATTGAATTGTGATTCTGTGGGTTCATAGGCATAGGTAAATATCCTGCCATCAAACTACCATTTCTTGAAAATGATAATCCTGGAACCAATGGTTCTTGTTCTTCTATTAAATATTTGAAAATGAATTAAAATTGCTTTTTAATCAATAAAATCTTTAATAGAATCAAATTAGTTACCTTCTTCTTCATCAACATCCTTCAATCCAAGTTCTTCAGCCTTTTGTCTACCAACATGATATTTGTCTTGTACAGTATCACCTGGGTGAGCTCTTGTCCAAAATCTTGTAGAATGATCATTAGAACCAGACACCAATATATGCCCAATTGGATGCCAATCAAGTGACCAAACATTTTGATCATGAGCAAATTCGACTATTTCAACCACTGATTCTTGTCTAAATAAATAAATAAATATTGCTTTAATAACCATATGATATGATATAAATATTTTCAAAAAATATTATCATTTTTACCCAACAAGCCAAAACATTAAACACCCATCAGAACCGCCAGTAACAACCAATCTTTCATGAAATGGATGCCATGAAATACCTTTTAAATTATCAAAATAAAATTAATATAATTTTTTAAAGGAAAAAAGAAAGCCAAACCACCATCATCATTATTATATACATACTGCAAACTTCTTTGTTATGTCCACGAAAGGTTTGTAAATCCTTCATCATCCTAATATCATAAACTTTGACTAATTGATCTTTTGCTGCAGTTCCCAACCAATTGCCATTCTTATTCCATTGTAAACCAAGAATCATATTTTTATGACCATGTCTGTGTTTTTTGATAATAAAATTATATCAATATAATTATCTGAATAAAACATTAAAAAAAACCACATACAAAGTATCAATATTTTTTCCTGATTTTGGATCCCAAAATTTAATCAAATTATCTTTAGAACCAGATGCTAAAAGCGATTTATAAGGATGCCAATCAACTGTTTTTACATCCCATCCATGTCCTTTATTTTTATAACAATACAAATGACTATTATTAACTTACTTCATTAAAGATCACAGCAACAACAAAAAATTTAATTATTTAACCTGATAATGTCTTTTCTTCAATCCCTTCATTGAAATCCCATATTTTGATTGTACCATCATCTGAACATGTAGCAAACTTTGTATCAGATGGCGAAAATCTAAATTGATTACATTTCTATATAAAAAAAGTAGTTTATTGACTAACCATAATATCACTAATAGTAATTAATAATTTACATACGATAAATCTCTTATAGCCTCTTTATGACCTTCAATCATCTTCAGATTATTCATGTTGGACTGCCAATATTTTATGATACCTTTATGATCTGCAGTTACCATCCAATTATCATTATGAGACCACTTCATGGCTCGAACTGCTGATTCATGAGCCTTTAATTGTCATTTTTTAATAATAATAATAATAATAATAATAATAACATTTAATTATTGAGGAATCCATCCAAAAAAAAAAAAGACAATAAAAATAAAGCAAAAAATGTTTTTGGTCAATCTTTATTTATTTTCTTTTTTTTTCTCAATAATTAGATTAAAACATATAAATATATTAAGAACTTTGAAAAATAAAAAATTGCCTTCCTCCTCAAATAGAAATTATTTGTAATTTATTATTATATTAAAGATTAATATAGCAATGCTTTTAAGATAAAAAATCACAATATAGTTGTGATCTTTCACAAACAACAAAAAAAATGCTTCTTTTTTATTTGATCTTTATTTATTTGAACTTTTCACACTTCCAATATTAAAATCTAAATCCTAATCTAATTATGTGTGTGTGTGTGTGTTTACCCTTCAAGCCCTTTTGACAAATTGCTCCCAGGAATCAAGAAAGGAATAATAATAATAAAATTTATTTGATAAAAGAAATGATTTCATACCTGTAAAATAGTTTCAAAATTAAAAGTCAATCCATTCCAAAGTGTAAATTCACCACTTGATAATCCTGTAATTAAACGTCTTCCTTCAGGAGTCCACTATTGTAATATAAACAAATAAATAATACTATAAAATATCAAATCACAAAAAAATATTGTAAAATCAACTTTACAAATCAGCCAATTCCTTCCTTACATACTCGGACAACATTAACTGGATATCTATTTTTATTTGTTGAAGTATGTACATATTTTGTCGCTATAGCATTAACTGGATTATTAGGATAGGCTAATGGTGGCAAAAGCTATCGTATAAATATATATGCAAGACAGAAATTTAGATTTTTTATATGTATTGTCATTATTAATAATGATAAAAAAAAAATATAGAAAATAATATTAATAATAAATACATCTATTGTAAAATTTGGTTTAGGACGCAAGAATTTTATTTCTTTTGGACATCGCATCCAAACTCGATCCTGCAATAAAAGATTTTTCAAATGAATGAACGTTTGTTATCTACAACTATTGTTACTTCTGAATTACCATTAAAGAAATACCTGCAAGTATTTCCCGATAGAACAGTTATAATCCACCGTTCTCCTTTGGATGGCCTTTCTCATCCTTTTACCATCAAAGACTGCACGTTGTGCATTGTTATTACTATTATTATTGATATTATTATTATACATGACGATAATAAAAATTAGAAAAATTATGGTGATCGTTCAATTAAGGATATTAATATTCAAATAAATGATTGGATAGCCAATTTTTTTCTTTTTTCATATTAATATGTAATAAAAAAAAAGTCTTTGCACTTTCTGATAATATTAAACAAAATTTTTCTGTGATAATAACGAAATATAACCAAAGAAAAAATTCAAAGATTTAAAAGATTATAAAAGATTAAATGTTTTAATAGAGAATTGATCATCTTTAACAAAAAAAAAAAGACCATCTTTAAAAGGAAAGGAATCACCAGTATTATGGAAACCAATCATCTAGAAGTGCTGCCGCTGTTGCCCCTTTCAAATCAATTTCTTGAACTTGATTTTCTTTGCTATGTAATTGGCTCAAAGATCAATGTTTTAAATGAAATAGTAAAGTTAATAAGACCTGATTCACAAAAGGCCTCTAGAAGCCTAACAGGTCTTGAATTAGTCTTACAATCTATTTTTTTTTAAATTTATATTTTAAATTCTCACAATCACTACAACAAACAATCCGTGACTGCTCATTTAATTATTTCACCATAGATGTTGGCCAAAATTGTTTTTGCATTTGTCAATATTTCAAATTTTCAATATTCTTTATATGAATAAACATAAATAACTATGTTATTTGATTTATTTCAGATTAAAAAGCCCAAATGATTTCGGATATGATTTCGGCTACTATTAAATCTATGTGTTCCACCACATCTTATCACCTTCAAGACTAATTTTAATAGATGGAAGAATCTTTTTAAAGATCGAATACAGTGTATTATCTTTTAATGAGCAGGACAAATTTACAACAGACAAAGATTTGGAGTTAGAGTGTGTTACACATTAGTGATGTGCCATTGGAAGATTGGAAGGGACTGGAACTTCCAATTTTCCAATGATAGAGGGAGGTGTTGTAAGGTTGGAAGGCTTGTACGTTATCAATATTATTGTCCAATCAAAAAAATAATCACGTGATAAAACGAGGACTATCTCTCTCTGTTAAATTATGTGGCAATGTTTATCATGATAATTGTTGGAATAAATTAAATTTCATATGTGCTCATTATCTTTCAGGTTCAATTGATGATTGTCCAAGTTATATAATAAGCCAATTGAAATTCATATAAATTTGAGACATTTATATATCTTAGAATCCAAAATCAAACAATGTCTGGAAATAAGGAAATACTTTATTATTATGATTTAACAAATTCTGATAAAAGAAATACATTTAAGTGGTAGATCAGATAAGAATCTCTACATAATAAAATTTGATGCAAATTTACTATTTAAAAACAATAAAAAGGAACTCTACCTTCCCAATACAGTCAAACCTCGTTTCAACGGATTTAGGTGGTCAGTCCCATAAATCCGTTGAATATAACGGATCATTGGAACCAGGAAATTTGTCCGTTATAGAGAGAATCCGGTATAGAAAATTGTACTACATTAAGTCATGCGGAATAAAAAAAATATTATTTAATATTTAAAAAACAGTAATATACAGTCAAATCTCGATAAACCGAACTACCATAAACCGATTTTCGCTTTATAACGATGCAAAATTGGCTAACTAAATCATATTTAATAAAAAATTATTTCGTTAAGCCGAATTTTATTATAATTTCTACTTTACTTGATAAACCGAACTAAAATTCGGTTTAAAATGGTCGATCACACAACAATCAAGTTTAGTCAAGTTTAGTCAAGATGATTATTACTAAATTAGGCTTTTAACCCTTTACGCTGCCAGCCCTGTTTGTATCGTAAATCGAATTTTGATAAGCCGATCCTATTTTTGTGATTCCCAAAAGTTCGGCTTATCGAGGTTTGACTGTAGATTGTTTTGTTGAATTGAATTCTATTTTTTAATTTTCTTTTTGACATTTTTTCACTGTTTCAATTCCTCATTTGTAAATTCCTTAAAATGTCGTTCAAACAAACAAGTTTACTTTTTCAATAGCCAATAAAGCATTTTGACTTAAATAGGAGATGTCTCTTCGATGTCTTCTTCGTCCTGATTTTCTTCATTAAAATTCGACATAGAAATTATTTCTTCTTCATTCAGCAAATCATCATCATCAACATTTTTTTCATTCATCAATACTTTTAGTTCATTACATCATACTTATGTCATTTATTTCAAATAATTGTTTTTATTTTTTTATTTTGCGATTACAGGCAGGTAATAGTAATTTTTTATTATAATTTAGATTTAGAGAGATCTGCATTTTTTCGATGATTTTAAAACTTTTAATTCATTATAATCTGCTTGTATATTATTTTGTTCAAGAAATTAAAAGCAGTTTCAAAAGCTTTTCACTTTTTTTGGAAGAAGATAGCTGTCGAGACATTTTAATTTCATAGAACTTAGAGATTTTATTAATTTAAAGAAATCAAAGAAAATGTTGATTATGTAGAATTATTAGAAGATATTTATTTATTATCAGTTTAGAAATACGGAAAATTTAATTAATATTATTTATTTAGTGATATGTGTTTAATTATTTGTGTAAAATCATTATTTAGAAATACGGAAAATTTGATTAATATTATTATTGGAAATATGGAAAATTTTGATCAATGATAATGTGTGTTTAATTATTCGTGTAAAATTATTATGGAAAATTTTGATTAATATTATTATTTTAGTAATGTGAGAATCATTCATGTAAAATCATATTGATATTTTTGAGAATCATTCAATTTGTTTATATTATTATTTAGCAATGAATTAATCTTAACATAGTAATGTTTTTTTTTAATAAAATCTATATCACGTGAATCCGATTAGTACTTATTATTATTACTAAAATCCTACCAAAAAATCCTTTGTCCGTTGAAACGCGATTTTAAATATAAAATCCGTTGAACAAGAATTTTTTAATTTAAATTAATAAGATGTTAATCAGTCCGGTCCGGTACTGGGGCTTAAAGTCCTAGAAAAAGCCCCAAAAAGTCCTCAACCTTTTTTCAAACAGTGTATTTATTATATATTTTTATTATATATCTTTATTTTTATTTATATATTTTATATATAGTTTTATATATATTATTATAAATGTTTGTAAATGTAAAAAAATTATATTAAAAAAATTATATTAAAAAAATTATATTAAAAAAAATTTAAAAAAAATTTAAAATATATTTAACATATTTTATATTGAAACAATCTTTGCTTCAATCCAACTTTTAAGGCAAAAACTTGCTTGTGCCTTTTCAGGATCCAATCTATTACAAACTGGACTTAGTATGTGTTTAGCTATGCTAAAAGCTGACTCACTTGACACACTAGTTGATTGTATTGAGAAAAAATCATGAGCCATATGTGACAAAACAGTATACTTAGGACCTTTAAATCTTGTAGAATACCAATCCAGGCAATTTTACTTCTTCTGGCATTTCTAAATATTTTTTGATAAATTCATTGTTTGAAGTTGATTGATTATAATGATTTTGAAATGATCTTTTAAAATAACTACATGTTGATGTTGAATTTATTGATGTGACTTCTAAAGATAAATTATATTTTTCTGAATACAATATATCATCAATATTTTCATCATTGCCATTAATAAAAACAAAAGGTTGTGATTGTTGTTGTGCTTCAATTTGGTTTGTAAAGATCAAATCCACCATTGATTTCAAAGCTATTTTCAATTGATGATGACATTTTGAAAAAATATATATATCATGTGAATTTTTTTTAAATATTTATGCTACACGCGGACTTATAGGGACTTTAAGTCCCAAATGGTAGGACCGAACCTGAAACAGTTCAGTCCCGGACTTTTTGGGACCCAGTCCCAAAGGACTGATTAACATCCCTATTATTAACATTAACTTTATTTAAAATTATAGTCTAAAATTTCCTAGTATGTTTAATTTTGACCAAAATTTGGACATGGTGCATACTGCAACAAAACCAGACAAAGTGAATATTAATATTATGTCTCTTTAGAGATTTCAGGGTTCAAAATTGGCAATTACAATTATCACTGAAAATAGTTTTTAGATTCATATTAAATATTTCAACATTTTTTATTATTTAAATTTTCTACAAGTTAATTATTATTTTTTAAGTAATATAATATGCAAATATTTATGAATTAGGCATTTTTATCATTTGCAATATAAATATATTTCTAATTATATTATGTGCATAAACTAATACTTAAATATTTAATTTTGCCTTTTAGCATTTGAAACATCCATATATGAAATCTCAACAAACAAATCCATAGTGTGAGATCAAAATTCCGCGTCTCACACAAATCTCTTGATTTTTATTTATGATGACATGCCGATACAATTTTCCCATTTATTTATACTAAATCATAATAACAATTTCCGCGAATGTATATTTATGCTTTACTCTCAAAACTATCTTTTGCTATAGTGCTCAAGCTATTTAATTATTTACAGGGCAAGTTTCTTTACTTCCCTTCCGGTAACGTTTTCTCAGCAGCTCTTTGTTATCTGCCTGAGCTGACACGTCTCTCACTAAAAGCACTAAAAGAAAAGAAAAGAAATAAAAAAAATAATAAAATTAATAGAGACAAATATAAAATAAGAGAAAATAATTATGCACGGGATCAGTAAATTCGTTGTTAGGGATAGATTTATTATCATTACGAAAATATAATGTTCAAAGTTAACAAGGACAAGGTTTATTTATAATAATATTTGAGTTTACTAAAAAACTAATAAACTTTGAGTTAATTAAAAACTAATAAACTAAAGATTACATGAAAGAGAAATTTACAACGTATTTATACATTTTAGAGGTTCTATCAAATTTCTTTAAAATCCTAAATTATACTAATTAATGTATTCTTTAATCATTATTTAAACCTTCCATGTAGAAGTAATTTCTAGTCAACATGAGTTATGTAAAATTCTTTCGTTTAAATATTATTCTGATACTTTGTAATTCGTTACATTTAGAATGTTGGAATATTTATTTCCGAGAGTCAATTATTTTATTGGTGTTTGAATAAATCAGATTTATATATCAGTTTCCCGTGATTTATAATTTACTATTTTACACTATGTAAAATTCGAATTTTACTATCATTTACTATTACTATAGATCTGCGGTGACTATTACATGTGGTCAAAATTATTAAATTGCGTCAGACGCAATTAAAATTCTAGAAAATTGAACATTGCGTCACCAATCATAAATTTGACGCGTTGACGCAAGACGCAATCCATGACGCAAGACTCGTGAGTGATATAAACTATCTGAAAATGATGTTTTCAAATCTTGCAAAAATGATAAAAATTACATTATTTATTTATTTGCAATAATTCTGTATATTTTATGAAATTAATTTAAAGTATAAACCTTTTTTTTGAGTTATCCACGATTTTCTACTTCACAACTTTAAAAGGTTATGGTCTAATTGAAAAACTTTTGTATGTATTATATTCATTATATAAAATATCCATAATTATAAGCAAATTAATATTTTATTATATGAAGTTTTGTGCAATTCACAAAAATTTCAAACATGATAAAAAAAAATACTATCATTTTTACATTTAATCAATTTCATTATTTAAAATATCATCCACTATTATTTTTGTATTTTTGTGGATCAGAATGAATAGGTTATCAACGAATTGATTTTGTTATTAGTGAATAATTTTGGGTAAAGAAGATAATAGTTTTAAATAAAGATATTTATTTTATTTATTTAGTTTTCTTAGTTGAAACTAATTAACTTGTTAGAAAGTTACTTTACAAGTACATTGAATTCAAGCTCCTTATATACAATTCAATTAATTAATAATTCTAATATTTCAAAATTGAAATTTCCGTTCAATATTGAAAAGCTAATTCAATATTTCAAAATTGTACTAATATTTCAAAATTGAAATATTAGAAAGACGATTCTTCCTTAATATTATAAAGAAATTACAACGTTATACAAATAATAAAAATAGAAATAAAGATAAAATGTATTACGAAAATAGATGTAATACGGGATAACATAATACTAAACTAATAAAATAAGATTTCATTTCATTTTATTTTATATATTTAGGCTTGTGCCAGCAGTACTTAGCATTAGTACTGTAGAGAGAGTTTTGAGTGGGCTCTGAGCTGTGTGCTGATACAGAGGCCTGAGATAGAGAATTGAGAACCCTGAGCTGTGTGCTGATACAGGGAGATTTATATATTAGACTTTTATATTTATTTTATTTATATTTTTATTGGACACATTATGAGCGTATTTTACATGCTCACAATAGAGATGAATTAGACACACTGCTAGAAACTCATGGATTGATTAGATTAGGAAATAGATTAGTAAGATTTATTTTAGATCACTCAACAGTTATTAGAAAACTAATACTTAATACTTCTAACATGGATTTTAATCAGATGAATAATCACTATTAAAGACTAGTGCTGTAAATTATGATGATAGTAGTAATTGTATTTATGGCATATAAAAAGTGGTCGCAATTACCTTTGTGACCACTTTTGCAACCATCCTTTTTCCTTTTTTGGATTATGGCGCTAGTCTTTAATCACTATAGATTTGGCAACATCTTTCAAAATCTTAATAAATTAAGTTGACAGTTTTGATAAATTAGCCAATATTTGCAAGAATATTCAATCATTAGAGATTCATTACAATTCATATGATGCCAAATTTGATTATAGCACAAAATCAAATAAAAAATTAGTAATTCATTCATATTATACCAATCAAAGGTTTTCAAATAATTTCAATACAGCAATATCAGAACATTCACAATCAATTGTTTATTACAAAAGTTTTTGAGAAAATAATATAGATCATATCACTCCCTGGACAAAAGTATCCGGACACCTGTTTTTACTAATTACACAAAAACGCACATAATAACTATACATAAAATTTTGATAAAATTTGGCTTAGGTTTTTGACAAACATGTATGTAAAATTTAATGCTTTTAGAACGTCTAGAAACATTTTAGTTAAAAAAAATACGAAATTCGACGAAAATCGCGATATCATTTTTTGTTTATTTAGTTTACCCAAAATCCTACATAATAATAAAAATAAAAATTTATGTCAATTTGTAGCTTAGGTTATCTAGAATATGTATGCAAAATTTTGTAGCTGTAGCTAGCATAAATAATTTATAATAAAATTAAAAAATTAGTAATTAAAATCGCATTTTGTAAAAATCAAGATTGATAAAAATTTTTTAATCTTAAAAATGCTAAAAAACGAAGAATTGTCAGAATTTATCCGAGGAAAAATTTTAGGCCTTCATGAAGGTGGTAAGAGTGTAAGAGATATCGCCAAGAAGCTAAAAATCCCAAGAAGCACAGTTCAAGACACCATTTCTCGTTATAAAAATCTAGAAAATGTTAAAAGTGCATCAAGAAGTGGTAGACCAAAAGCTTTAGATGAACTTGAACAAAACGAATTAAAAATGCTAGTAAAAACAAATAACCGCATGTCAGCAAATATGATCCAGAAAAAATTTGCTGAAGAAAATTATCTTGTGGTTTCGACTAAAACAATTCGTAGGAGCTTGTATATTATTACCAGCATTTAAAAATTTAAAACTTTATCACTATGTGATAAACAATTAAAACATTTCAAAAATATTTCACTGGAAAATATTGAATCCATGAAATTAAACATTCATCATCAACCATTCCTTTTAGACTTATTGAGTTTTATTAACACAAATGGTAAAACTCTTAAGGATATAGATCTTGATGGTACTCCAAATGATAGTGAATTTCTAGGGAAGCTGTTTCAATCAATTGCACAGCATTGTAAAATCCTAGAGGATTTATCAACATTTTATAAGAATGAATTAGACCACAAATATTATTTAATAATTGTTTTAAATTAGAAAGTATTAGAATTAAACCAGTTTTTAATATAGATAGATTAGATGGTGACAAAATTTTTTCAGTATTAAATCAAACATTACCAAAAAATTTAAATCAATAAGTTTACATCATTGGACTATTAACATCAATGATGATTCTTTTGATAATCTGATGAAGAATTGGAAAGGTCCCAAATCTTTTACAGTGAAACATTTTTTTTAGTTATAATTTTTTTTCTTTTTTTTTTGCAAAATATTATAAATTATATAATACAAACAAATATTAAAAATGTAATTGTTTGAATAATTAATGGTATTAATAAAAAATTTAAATTTATTTCCTTCAATTTTATTATAATTGTTTGATCTTTTAAATGGTAACATAATATTAGAATATCATTGAATGCATGATGTGAATCAATTAAATACTAGTGCCGTAATCCAAAAAAGGAAAAAGTATGGTTGCAAAAGTGGTCGCAAAGGTAATTGCAACCACTTTTTATATGCCGTAAATACAATTACTACCATCATCATAATTTACGGCACTAGTCTTTAGATTCAATACTTTTATCGGTACCTAGACGTTTCCCCAACAACCGTTTCCCCAACAGGACGTTTCCCCGACAATTACATTTTGTATTACAATATTTATTTGTTTCCCTGCCATGCCATAGCCGGCTAAGTTTATCAAACCATTTAAGTCTATTAACCCATTCATTAGGCGACTAAGCTGTTTAAGTCGGTTAGGCCATTTATTAGCCAATTAATATTAAATATAGTTAACAAAATCTTGTCGGAGAAATGTCCTGTCGGGGAAACGTACCAGACCCCTTTTATCTGGATACTAGAAGTTAAATAAGAAATGAATGGATGAAGGTAAGTTGCGAATGTCTGTAGATCCAGAGAATGAGCTAAAAACTGTAAAAGAATTTGATTTGATAACATTACCATCGAAGAGATGTTAGAAGGGTTTATTGATTATTCAAATGACTTAGCTTCAGAATATGCAGGAAGTTGGTCAAAAATCAGTGATTTAAATTTCCAAAAGTTTGAACAAAAGCAGGAATATGAAGAAAAGTTAAAAGAAAAGGAGGAACAGATTAAAGAATTAGAAGAAGCATTAGAATTAGAGGAGGAAACATCTGAATGTCATTTATATGCTCTCGAATTGGCTAGACAGTGGAGAATAAGGCAAAACAAAGAAAAAGATGTCAACTTAGAAAAAGCTTCTAGGCGAATAGAGTTGTTGGAAAAAATTGTGGCATGACAGAAATATTTGACAGACAAGCAGCTTCAAGACTACCAGTTTTACCAAAGAAAGAAAACAAATTTAAACTCCTAACTAACAAAGTAAAGAACAAAGTTAGCCAAGTAAAAGAAATAACTTGAGAAAAATTTGAAACCTATATCTTGCAAAAGAATAAATAGCATGAAATTAGAATACCAAGTTAATGAGCTGAGGGAGAGGAGATAAATGGCATTGTAATTTCTGTCCTTTTGAAAGAGAAAGGAGTTTAACTGCTACTTACAAAATAGTATCTTACAATACAAGCAATAATGATTACAATGACATTGCTTATATTTGTGTTGAGTATAAAAAAGCTCTTGATGATAATACTTTGCCACATTGAGGTGATTGTGGTAGAATTATGAAAGATGAACCAGCCAAAACCCCAATCATAACAGAAATAATGGCACAAAGTTATTGGAACAGCAGAATAAAGACTTAAAACAGCAATCATCCAGTGCTAAGGAAGAAATCAGTACTCATTTGGAAGCCTTAGAAGTTTCAAAGAATTGACATAATAAGCAAAGACAAGAATTATTAGATAAAATTAAAAGACTTGAAAGCAAGGTTGAATGATTAATGAAACAATAGAACCAACAAGTTGCTCAAATTGAAGTTAAAAAAACAAAGAGATGATCTTGATTGAAAATAAAAAAGTAGTTTAAAGAAATTCTGTATAAATTGAAATTTATTGAGTAATGATTCACCATCATGATGCTTTCTTTTTCTAACATTTATTATTTTTCTTTCTTCTTGGTAAATTTCATAAATAATCCTTTCTTTCCTTAGATGAGCTTCCAGTGTCTGAGTATCATTTATTTTGAAAACATAAGGTGCAATTTTTTCACCTTGCTCTTTCTTCAAATAATTTTAATGGTGCTATAATTCTTGGGTTCCATGGTAGACCTAATGTAAATTAACTTCATGTTAACTATTTTTATATAGGGATAATTCTATCTACCGTAAAGTCTGGAAAGATAGCACCCCCTACTTTAAAACAATTGAGCGTCAATATAAAAAAAATGTTACACATACAGTACCTAGACAAAAGAATCGGAATGCATGTTTTTGTTAATTACGTAAAAACATACATATCAACAACATATTAAATTTATATCATAAGTAACTTAGGTTATGTTAAACCTTCATGTAGAAC